ACTGAGACAGGGGCAGAGCATATTGTCACAGCAATAAGAGCATCCTATAGTTTATGGTGAACTATTGTGATAAGAAGAAGGTTGACGCTCTGGCAGCAAAGAACAGTAAAATCACTTTTTTTCACAACTGTAAAAACAACATCATAATGCACGCTACAACATTGCTTTTGCAGTAAAATAAAATGCTACTTTCATTATGCTTGCCGGAGTCATGACTTTCTTCGTATCAGTATATTGTCAGCGGAAGGGTCACAGTGAAGAATACCCAGCAGAGGAGATGTGCTTTAGCCTCCATTCACATGTAGCATTTGCGTTTACCGCGCAGTTTTGTACTGCACAGTCCCACAATAGCCTGAACAATGCACATTAAAATGCATTGTTTTTTATGTTTAGAGCGGTTCTGTGCACATTCGTACGATCGAATACGCACGGACAACCGCTTCTGTGTGAATGGAGCCTTATGCTGTGTGGATTAGGTTTTTATTTTGTTTTTATGTAACACCAATTCTCAAATGAAAAATAGTGTTTGCACTATATCTTATCCTACATTGTCTTATAACAAGGTTCTTTGAACACAAAAACCATTGCAAATAGTTATTTTAAAAAAATACACACACCACAGCAGTGAGTGCACCCCACAATTTATGTTGAAACATTGTAAAAATAATTTTCAAGTGTGAAATAATGTTTGTAGTACATGTTATACTACTTTTTCATATAACAAAGTTCTTTGAGTGAATTGAAACTCTCAGTGCAACACAAAAGTAAATGATAAAGAGAATAAAAACACACAACTGTCAAACATCTGTTTTGATGGTAACGGGTCACAGTTGTTACAGAGATTGTTTACAGCTACTGCAGATGGAACCTGGAACAAGTCCAGATGTGAAGCACATGTCTATGATTGTGGCTAATACATTGGTTGGAGAGGAAATTTAGTCAACATAGAAGCTGATCCACATGAATTTGCTGAAGCATATCTTGTTGTATTTACACGTGTAGCTTGAAATTAAGATACTATGGAATGAATGCATTATATGTTGCCCAATCAGTATGGCTTGTCTCATTTGGCTGATACTGCAATTGAATATTTAGATCTGTTAGTACAAGCTTATGTAACTATGTAGAGTAACAACAAAGCAGGAATACAGCTAACAAACACGGAATTATTCATTATAATATTCACTAATATGAGATCATTGCCGTCAGGCCCGGATTTCCCACAAGGCCACCGAGGCCCGGCCTCGGGCGGCAGAGTGCAGAGGGATGGCGTATTGTGGAACCCGGCCTTGGGGTGGCAGGGAGAGTAAATCCGGCCCTGATTGCCATCTAATCTGGTCAACTACAGTTAAGAAAAATTAACAAACAAGTGTATTTCTCTGAGAGCCATGAGGCTACTCCCAAAGCCAAGTGATCTTAAGAGAAAAAGTGATTGGTTGAGTTGAAGTGATCACTTGGTGGTTAGATCTTTTGACCTCCACATCATATTTTTAGTAAATTTATACAGAGAGATGTGCAATGTTTAGTAAATCATAGCAGAAGAATTCTTTTTTTTAATTGGTGTAACTAAAGTTAACTGATTGAATGCTAAGCATTGCTACATTGTGCTACTTTTTGCACAGCTTTACCCAACAAACCAAAATATCTTTTTTTGTGTTGCCTCTACACCAAGGCTGAAGACTTTTATCATATCTCTGTATATAGAGTATTTGTTAGTATGCCTTTTTGCTTTGTTCCAGCTATTTTACTGTATGTCAGACTGGTTGTCTGGCTCCCATTTAAGTTTCAGCAATATGAAAGCATCAGAAGTTACCTTTTATAGATCACAAGAATAGTAAAGTCTTTAGAAGGTCATCCACAGTATGGACTTCATTTAAAAGGAAAAACATGTCATCAGTTGTGCTAGTTTCCTTCTAGCCTTAAAACATTGTTTAGGTTCACATCTATTTTACTATCTATAAAGCTCAGGAACAGTGTAACAAAACACTTTCCAGATGCTTGATTGCTTGAGTCATCCAAACTCTTCCTTGTTTCCTAAAGATATTAGGCAATCACTTATACATTCATTTATTTTACTTACGATATTACTAGTATTTATTTATATTAGCTATTTCCAAAATGGCATTCATGGCAGTCTGTGCAGCAATTAGGAAATGATTATAGTTTACAGATAGTATTTGTATATTCTTAATCTGAATGTAAGAGTAAGATATGTAACCATCATGCTAATACCTTTTTTACATTGGAATATCATTCAACGATTGTCTACATCTATAAAAACTTTTATATTGTGGGAAAGAAAGTTAATTTCCCAATAGGCATTGCTAGTTTAAGTATGCAATGGATGGAACAGTGCGATGGGGGTAGGGATTGGAAGATGGGGGTTAAAATTGAATAATAGGGTTGTTGAAAATGGGTGAAACATATAAAATAACATATAATAAGAAAACAGATAGCAGTCTATATTCTACATGAGAAGTTCATGTTCTCAAACAGAAGGATTGCATATGGGATTATTTAGCCATCAAGGCCATTGGTGTTGGAATTTGGAGTAGTTGTGGCAAACATTTTTTTCCATTGAACAGTAAAAGTTGTGGTTGTGTAGTATGTCCAATGTATTAGGGGGTTGGGTGAATTCCATGGTTTAGTTATATTAAGTTTAACAGCTACCAATATGTGTACAAAAGCTGTTCTGACAGGGTACAGAAATCTATCCCTAAATGTAGGAGGACTAACTCAGGGGAAGGGTAAATCAGGATTTCAACTACTTCAGAGATAAATTTAAAGATCAGGTTCCAGTAGGAATGTAGTGACCTACAGTACCAGACTATGTGAGATAGGGATCCCATGCATCCACATTGTCTCCAGCATTATCATGAGCGTGAGGGATAGAAATTTGATAATTTGTATGGTGTAAAATACCACCTGTAGAGTACTCTCTGGGGGAGATCTCAATGATTAATACATCAGATTGCTGTAAAGCAGCAGTTCTCAACCTGTGGGTCGCAACCCCCCGTTGAGTGGGTCGCTGCGTGCCTTCTGCTGTGCTAGGTGAGAGGCTCCTCAGCCTCCTCCTAGCGCAGCAGTGTCAGTTCTCCGGCCGGCCATCAGATGTCTCTGCAGCAGCCATGGCCAGGTAGGAGCTGACAGCAGGCAAGTGTTTTTTTTTCTACATTTAGCCCTGCTTCAGCCCAAACATCTGGGGGACCCAGGACCAGGGAAAATTGCTTCAGGATGGAGAGCAGGGAGCAGAGCGGAGAACTTCCATTCTCTGCTCTGCTCTGTGTTTACACTGAGACAGGAACACTGTACACACAGCCTACCCATCTAAGTTATCACAGGAGTTCACGCATAGTGCTGTGCTAGAACTCCTGTACTGGAGGTGATAGGTTCAATAAAGAGAACCACCAAATGCTATCACACAAGTGCCTATTAGCTCCTGTGTGATAACAATAAAGTTAAGTGAAAACATTTCTCCCTCTGACCGGAAGTACCAAGGGAGCATGGAGCCCACTTCCTTTACAATCAGGAAGCCGAGTGGTGGGTTATGATCCACCTCCCGGCTCCCTGATTGCTTAGGAAGCCGGCTTCACTTGTTGCTAGGCAGCCTGGCTTCCTAACTAATCAGGAAGCCGGGCGGCAAGTCATGACCCGCCGCCTGGCTTCCTGATCGATCAGGAAGCCAGGCAGCCTTGGGAAGTGAAGTCGGTGTTCCTTCGATAGAACACCGGCTTCCCAGGCAATCAGGAAGCCGGTGGTGGGTCATGATCCGCAACGCACTCCTTGATAATATGGGCACACAGAATAAATAAAATAATAACTTTGGAGGTCACCACAACTTGGCAAATGTTACCAAGGAGTCCTGGCCCTAGAAAGGTTGAGAACCACTGCTGTATAGAATGTCTGGTATTTTTTCCCAAGAGCTTTTTGGAAATCACTTTCCTAGTTCTAGTTCCCATTTGAGTATTGTGGATGTTTTCTTGAATTATGTGTTGTTTAAGATGTTGATGTAAAATAGGGATACACCCTTAGCATGATGGGAGGAGTTGTGTTAAGGAAATGAGAGATCGAAAGGTTTAGATAAAGTTCAGCTGATGTAAAGTTTACTGCGTAGAGAATGGTGAATCTGTAAATAGTTATGGTATTCAGTTAATAGTAGTGGAGGAAGTCAAAAGATTTAACATTGTGTTCAGAGAGTAGATTTGGTAGTGAAGCAATCTCAGATTTTGTTCAAGTTTGTAAAGTTAGGTGTGGGATTAAATATTCCAGGATATCTAGTGGAGGTATAATTTTGATGATGAGTAAGGCGTACAGAAAGGTTTGTTAATAAACATAAGATTGACAATGCTCACTCACTGCACTGAGGAGCAATGTTATCACCCTAGGTTGCTCTTCTGATTTGGACTATAAAAAAACCTCCTACAAAACATGTGTTTTCTTAATGGATCAGAATACATTTGACTCTTATATATGTAATATACTTTATGAGCCAATAGAAAGAAGACTTATAAGTGATGTGCTGGTTTTAAGATATGAGGAGTTTTATAAACATTGTGTATATAATCCCTCAACAAAACTGGCTACATTTATATAAACCAAACCACTTTTGAAATTTTTTCTATTTGTGGAATCCTAAAATTTCGAAAATCCTAAACAATAGGGGTATTGGGGGTGAGGCTTTTAGAAGATATCACCCTGTTCAAGTAATCACAAAAAGTATAAACAAAGTTGATTTCAAATGCATGTAAATTAAGGAACAAAATTACCACCACTTTACATTATACTTACAATTGTAGTGATTTATCCAGCATTTCACATATAAAATGTAGAGCTGGGTTAATCCATTTTCATTGCCTGCTACCATGAAAACAAACTGTACCTCTTCAAGAGTAATATTTGTCTAAAACTGAATATTAGTTTATTTATATATGTTGCATTAATAATACATTAGCTAATTAGCTAAATCAATATATAACCATAATATATTTTTCATTTGGCAGGATATTTGGTTTACAGTGCATCTTACGATGATTATTTAAAGAATAAGTGGTCAACAAGGACAGCAGGAGGGACTAATTTCCCCATTGAAAATTTGAAACCAAACACAAGGTATGAAGCTGTTACTTTGCAAAATGTAGGTTCTGCTTTACTAAATAAGTAATTTTATATATATATAGAATATATATCAGAACGTTTGTACAGGGCTATATTGAGGACTGCACACCACCAATCCAGAAGAAGAGAAACCAAGTTTTTTTTTGGGTATTTACCATTTAAATGCAATTAGAAATCAAGAATAATTTCAGGATTAGCATTTTTTTGTGTAAAATCACCCTATTATATTAGTATTGTCAATAGAATATTTCCTTTTCAAGTAGAACAGTGCAATATTTTTCTAGTTTTGAAAGGTGTTTGTTTTTCAAACCTAAGAAGTAGACAAATAATCTTAATAACTTGGTTAAGTGTGTTCCTGAAATGGTCCTTGCTCTTAGAAACCTTTGCTGCATTTCCCTATGTCACATATTGTCGCACTTTCACTGTTCATTATATATATTGATAATGCCATACCTTTCTAAATCAGAAATTAATAAAGCAATCCATTTAAGGTACCCAATTCTCCTGCTCCCCAAATGAATATTACAATAAAAATAGAAAGTTATTGTATACACTGAACACTTGGGAAATGGCTTGTAGTATTTCCATTTGTAATTGCAAGCCTAAGGACATTAATGAATAACTTGATACAGTTTTTTAAGCAAGAGAACACGAGGCAAAAACTGCATATATAGATTCAGCTAAAACAAAACTGAAGATACAGATTTCACAAATAACATGGACAATAAATAGTACCTTGCTTTTTGCTTTTAGTTCTTGCCCTTGGATTTTCAATGTCAACTAGTGCTAATCTGAAGACATTAGTAATTTCCATCAGAAATTACTAATGTCTAAATAACTTGTATACAATGTTTTCACAAATGTTCCTGACCTGTAGAATATCCCTAAACCATAACATGCCCCTGATACTTAACCCTACAATCACTCAAAAACTAAAACTCAACCTCACACCGAAAAACAAACTAACTCTTAACACACCGGTCATGTAACCCCTACCTTCACTATAACCTTATCCTTTCACCTAATATTTATTTTTTTACTGTAAAGATTAATCCTAATTTTAATTCTAGCTTCTATCCTAAAGTGGCACTAAACACAGGAGTTAAATCTTAAAAATGCATTCAAGTTCTTAACTATTAAAAAAAATGTAGCTTGTTTGTGTATCACTCAGCTTTAGATCCTCATTTCTGAATTCATGCTGACACTGCCCTTCCTTCTGAAGGGTGGCTACTTTTCTTCCCCATAGTCCCAGTATGTGTTGTAAAGTAGTCACCACTCTGAACTCACTCCTCTGATAGACTACAATCTCAGTACAAATTAGTAAACAAAACGTGAGATTCTAGTCCATAATGGGAGGGAGCTTAGAGCTGTGGCTACTTTACAAGACTACCCACGCTCCCAGGATCTCACCAGAAGGCCTGTGACATTACGCTCACCTTGGCAACACATTTAGAAGCTGCAGTGTAAAGTAAGTTTATGGGGGGGGTTTCTTTTTCTTTTATGTGTGTTTTTTTATAACATTTTATGTCATGTTTGTACATGTGCGTAGTGGGGATGTCTAAAGAATAAGTGTAATCATATTTGAATCATATTATAAATACAGTTTTAGAATTAATTGCTGGTCATGTACTTTTCTCACTGTGGTCATTATTGCACAGTTTCTCTAGACTAAGGATGAAAACACATCAGCCAAATCGCAAATAAGTTGCATGTTGCTGGGACCTACTGTGATCCTGCAGCATATTTCACTCAATTTTACTACACCAGAGAGGTATTCACTATCACTATGACTAATTTAACTCAATCTGTGTACACTCCTTAAAAAAACAAGCTGAATTCACACCCTCTCCATATGACCATCTTCAGCAACTATACTGTACTAGACCAGTTTCTTAAAAATATTGCATTCCAGCTCTTGGCTGCATAATGAAATGTGATCAGACTGTAGCTTGAGAATATGTTTTAAAATCATTAGGATTCATAAGTTACAAAATAAACACCTATTGTTACCCATACTAATGACACCAAGCACCCTTATGAGTTTTAAATAAGTAAAGCAGTTGGCTGCAGTCCCAAAATGCATTCTATAGAGAAAGTGATACACATACATGATAAAAAAAATACAAAACAGAAAAGCTGTGCCACATTAAAAGGCTCACTTACGATAGTCTGAACAAAATCACAAAAGACTGTTAGTTTTCCCTCCTAGAGTGGCGCATTTAAGGTATGGCAGGACCCATACCATTGGTGCCACTTAAGAGGGGCGCCATACCACTCAGGGACAGTGGCGGTCTTTCCCCCTTTATTTAAGCTGTGTCCCATTCAGCCCTCCCATCAGTGCAGACCCGCAGTGACAGACAGCACAGCTGCTCACTGCTGTCACGTGTACACGAAGAGTTGGGGCAGGGAAAGTTACACTACTCACTTCCTTAGGCAGGCTGTGACTCATGACTTATCTAATGCAGAGCCCAGCAGAGCAAGTGGATATTGTAGACATTCCTATTAACTAGCTGCTTGTTTAAAAGCAACAGCAGTGATTGGCTGAGCTGTCTTTCACTGCAATGGCTTTGGGTCCGTGCTGACACGAGGTCTCAATGGGGCACAGCTTAACTAAAAAAGGGAAACACCTCTCCTCATGCCTGGGGCCAGGGGACCAATTGGGTTTGTTTGGCATCACTGCAAGCTATGTGGGTCTGTGCTGATGGGAGTCTGAATGGAGCACAATATAACTAAAGAGGCACATACCTCTTTTCATCCTTGGGACACTTATTGGGGGACTGATTGGCTATGCTGTTACTGCAATCCATTGCAGTTCCGCCATATCTGAATGGAGCTGGGATCATTATATTAAGGTACAAAAATATCTTCGAATACACTCCAAATTCCATGCTGTATGTTCCTCTTTCCACACTGCCTAATTCTTTATGTCATGCTGTATGTTCCCTATTCTATACTACCTCATTATATATGCCATGTTGTTCATTCGTTGTTTTACACCGCCTCATACTACTGTATATGCAATGCTGTGCGTTCCCTATTCCACACTACAAAACACAGAAATTTACCAGCACACTTACCAACTAGCCTGCAACACAACACATTTGCCCTGTCTAACAGTATGCATTAAAAACAGAGATTTTAGTTGCAAAGCTTTTTGCAAAAAATATATGGAAACCACACTGCCTCGTCAAGGCCCCTCTGTGTAGTGTGGTCCTAACTCTAACGTTTGTGAGTCTCCATATTGGAGCATATTTAAGCAGTTAATAAATTGAATGCAGGTATGCCTGGGGGGAGCCCACCCCTCCTTAAAGGTACAGGGACACCCTGGAGGCCCAGCAATCCAAAATGCACTATTCCACGCTGCCTCATTCTATATGCCATGCTGTATGTTCCTTATTCCACAATGTCTCATTTGATATGCCGTGCTGTACATTTCCTATTCCACATTGCCCTATTCTGTATGCAATGTTGTTCTTCCCTATTCCACACTGCCTCATCCGTAATGCCATGCTGTACGTTCCCTATTCCACACCACCTTGTTTTGTATGCCATGCTGTACGATTCCTAGTCCATGCTGCCTCATCTATACACCTTGTTGTACGTGTTATATTTTGCACTACCTCATACTGCACAATGTGTTGTACATTCCTTATTCTGCACCAACTTTGCAGGCCCACCTGCTCTAGTGTGTATATTTGGACAAGGGAGCAATTTTAGTTTTGTCATGTTTACCATAGATACAGCCCTGCATCCTTATTAACCTATTTAATGTCATGGCTTTCTCCAACTTTCCAGCGTTGCAGTGTGGATTACATTTTATTGGTTGTGATGTCGCAATACAGGCAGTTCTGATTTCAGATACTTTAATAAAGGAGTAAGCTCCTAATTTTATGCAATGTACATTTGGTTATGTCATACTGGTTGAATGCAAAGAAATTTTATTTTGGAACCGGATGAGTTATTTTTAGTTGTGTAAGGTATAGTAAATTTATACTACTTGATGTATTAGAACTCACCATCTGTCAGGATGACATTTTGGGAACTATATAGTTGTGTGTGGTTGGAATAGCTCTGTGAGACATCTGTCTGAGCATAGGGTATTTAAGAAACTAAAAAACTAAACTTGATGTCAAACGGGTTATAAATGGTACACTGACAGCCACACAGTGAAAAAATAAAAATAAAACAGCACATTTGGTAAAATATATGTGGAGAGGGATTTGAAGAACTGTTTGTATATGTAAGGCATTTCATAGTTTATTATTTTCCCACATTTTCCTTGGCCTTCCTGTCTGTTCTTATTCTTTCCAGCTAATCCTTGAATGTGCTTGTTTTCTCGGATGTGATCAAATATTCATCTGTGGAGGGTGTTAATGTATCATCACAGTCACTTGCTTTACACAATAAAAATCTAATAGCAGAACCAGGTTACAGGAAGTTCAACCTTGTCTTCTTAGCAATGTTTATGTCTGCAGAAATGTAAAAAAATGATCTTCAGTACATTCCGATACAGAGACCCAGGAAAATTGTAGGAATTTTTTAAAGAACAAATGAACAGATGGTATAATGTTAACCTGCAACCTGTAGCTCCTGTGTTTGCTAAAACAGTTGACCTATTTAAAGTGTATTTCTGGGCATACAAACAAAAACAACCAACAAATATGCAATACATGCACATTCCTTCATGTTTTAGTTATTTAAAGACCCTGTAAGTACAGAAAATAACCTGTTGGTTTTCCAGAAATCAAATGAGAAATCCAGGCTGACAATGCTGCATCTGCTCCACAGAAAACCCAAGCAGTATTGTTACCCCTTGCTGGACTACAAAACAATGTTACTGCCTTTACTCTTAAGAGCCTACCCACACAGTGTGTGTAGGGAAATGTCTCTTGGAGGATGTAGTTCTGGGGTTGTGCATAGGACAGCGATTGCCCCTGCAAGAATTTTAAAAGACTAGTGATGTCACAGGGAGTAAAAAAAAGTATTTCTTGCTATAGAAACAAGGCAAAAGAAAAAAATAATGCTGGCATATGCTCTAGAAGGGGAAAATGAAGTGAAGGTTTGTGGGTAAATTAGAGTAATAACTATACAAATTCTTTAAGGAAAAAGTATTTCTATCTTTACAAACACACACAGGAAACTTTGGATTACCTCTACAATTGTGTTGCTTCACCATGGTTTGTTACCACAGTACATAAAAAATGGTCGTAGGAGCTCTAGATCATATGGATTATGGTCAACCCAAGAAAAAGGAGACATTAGGACTGTGATTTCCTTTAGAGCACATGTGTCAAACTCAAGGCCCAGGGGCCGAACCTGGCACACCAGGCCATTTCCTAGACTTCTACTTTCAGATCTAGGTATTAAGTTATTACTAAAGCCAGTGATAATCAAATGCAGAGGCAAGTATGATGAAGATTAGATACATTTATATAGTCTTACAGGCCCTTTGAGGACAACCATAATGTTGATGCGGCCCACGATTAAATTGAGTTTGACACCCCTGCTTTAGAGGAATAAATAAATAACACGTATGTTGTACTAAAACATGACTAATTTAGAGGTGCATGGGTGTTTCTAATTTCTGCCTAGTGTAGAAGCATTAGGTATGCTGTATCCTTTAACTGGTCCAAGTATAGACAATAGGTGAACTGTGCATATACTCTAATACAGGCAAATGTGGGTCCAGTGGGAACTATCTAATATTGAGGACCAGAAGCATCACTATACTGAGGAATCAGATGGTAACCTCCAAAATTGCTTTCTTCCTCATCTAGGAAGCAACATCTTGAGATGGCATTCTTATCTTACCGCAATGACCTTCCAGTGATTGTAGTCACAGTGTACATCTAATTAATTTGCCTTCTCTGTGTCTGGGCCTTGCAGTTTTGCAGGCTGGAAAACGTGCCCTTCATATTCTTCAGTAATATGACACAGGATAATCACATTGAACTGAATTGTAATGGAGGGTGTAAACTGGAAATCATGGAATAAGTTTATCATTTTCTAGTATTTCCACTCGAAGTTACTAGCAAACAGATGCTTTTTCACTACTCCTGCCACGTTGTATACTTTCCTAATGTAAAAAGAATGCAGACTTCTCTTGCTGGCAAAAAAAAGAGCAAGTGTCCCAGGGCACAGTGAATGAGTAATTTATGTACATTATGAGTACTCTCCTAATTTTGGCACTTATAAAGAAAAAATATTGTCCGTTTTTAAGTCTTGATGTATTCAATGTTAATATAACACATAATCTACTGATTAAATTGCAGTGGTGGTAAATAATGAAGGCTGTTTAGTGTGTGAGTTGGAGAGGTTGAAATTAAATTGGGTGTACTTCAATGTATTTGTTACACTTGTGCAGCACTGCTCGCCAACATTTGTGTTAGATCTTTTAGCACTTCAGGGTGAAAGTTGGGTCGTGTGGCATGTTTTTTGTTAAATGGTGTGTGACTGTATTTATGCTGTATGTAGTGTGAATGGAGATTAGAACAACTGTGAGCAGGGAACACATTGACAAAAAAAGTAATAGAGAGACCCAAGATCAATCACATTTTAAACATCTGTCCTTAATGAAAAAATAATTATCTAAATATTTTGGCACCCTGTTACTACTGATCCTGGCCGCAAATATAGCAACAGAAAAAGTCACAGTCCATGTTTATGGAGAAAAAAAACCAAAAAAATTAGGGATGCACCGATACCGGTTTTTCGGTATCGAGTACGAGTACTGGTGCCATGTGCCCCTATTATAAGGAACAACAGCAAAACGTTTCCCAGCACACTCACCAGCCAGCATGCAAAAAAAAACCTGTCTAACCGCTAAGGTTAAAAACAGGTTTTAGATACATGTCTTCTGCAGAATATGTGAAAGCCGCACTGCCTCGTCAAGGCCCCTCTGTTTAGTGCGGTCCTAACTCTAACCTATGAGAGTTTCCATCTTGGAGCATATGTAGCAAAAGATAAAATGGGGTGTAGGTTTGGCAGGAGGCAGCCCAACCTCCTTAAAGGCCAAGGGACACACAAGGGACCCTGCACATCACAACTGTCAGCTAAGACCCTCAGTGTGTCACTGCACCAAATCAGTCAAGTAAAACAAATGACAAACACACTCATCAACTCATAACCAGCTTTCAACCAAGGTGCACATGGAAGGACTTTACAGTACAACAGCAAAAAGTTTCCCAGCACACTCACCAGCCAGCATGCAAAAAAAACCTGTCAAACCGCTATGGTTATAAATAGAGGTTTTAGATACACGTCTTCTGCAGAAAATGTGAAAGCCGCACTGCCTCGTCAAGGCCCCTCTGTGTAGTGTGGTCCTAACTCTAACTTATGAGAGCACATGTAGCAAAAGATAAAATTGGGTGTAGGTTCGCCAGGAGGCAGCCCAACCTGCTTAAAGGCACAGGGACACGCAAGGGACCCCGCACATAACAACGGCATTGTGAACTGCATGCTGTTGTACTGTATAAAGCCCTTTCATGTCCACCTTGCTTGAAAGCTTGTTATGAGTTGACGAGTGTGTTTGCCATTTTGAAAATGTGCAACATGCTTCTGTTGTGCGTTTTTGGGCATTTCCAATGAAGTCTATGGGGAGGAAAATCTCCTGTATCTTTTCAGACGTCTGGCGTTTTCCTACCAGACGTTTTTCTGCTCAGGTGTGAACCAGGGCAATTGAAAATCATGGGATTGCTTGTGTTGGGCAGTTAAAAGCACTTTTTGAACTGCTCAGAAATGCCTAGGTGTGAACCAGGGCTTAGAGTGGCAACACAGACAAAAATATAACTGATTTACTTTTCTCAAGTAGGAAAAGGCTATAAACTTTGCCAGATTTTAGTTTCTGTCTGTATGCCTATTACATATTTCCCCTCACTTCCTGTCTGGTGAAATTGTTTGAACCAGGATTGCTAAATCAATAGGAAGATAAATTGCTAAAACAGGAACTATGTGTGTCACTTGTCTGGCTGTACAGTGTGGAAAAAATTTGTAAATTACAAAATTCGCAGTACAGAATTACAAATGCTTTGAAAGTGAAAAGGAAAAACTTAGATTTATTTTAGCTGTGTATTTATCAGTTTGTCTGTAGTGTCACTTTAATATTGTGCCATAACAGATAAAGCCGAGCAACTCTGAGCAGTGATGATCACAGAGCTGTTTAGCAAGAAAAAAAAGTGGAAACCCTTTAAAATTGCTAAGGGATAAGTTATGGCTAAGCTGTCTTTCCTTAAAGACGAAACTGTAGGCTGTACAAAAATGAACCCTTGCAGTGGGTCTACCCCTGCACTGCCATGGTTAACTGCTAGTTTTTTTCTAGGGGCTCAAATAAAGAAATACTCACCTGATCCTCAGTCCTGCGGCAGTGGCAGCTTACCCCTTAACCCCTCTGCTCCGGCTGTGCTACGTCTCTTGGTGACCTCACATCTAATTCAGGAAAATGGACTGTATTAGATGTGATGAAATAAGTGGGGCTTTGACCACCTGAACCTGGGAAAGAAGAAGCTGCAGGGACCAGTCTAGCCAGCCAAGGATTAGAGTGGGGATTTCTTCTTTATTTGTTGCCCCTAGCAGTTAACCCTTGCAGTGTGGGGGTAGCCCTACTGCAAGGGTTAATTTTTCTACAACCTAGAGTTCTTCTCTAATAATACACGTTTTCCAAGTTTTGTTTGCAAGAAAGCCATATTGTACATTACAGATGCCAGTTTTACTCTGCATTACATCATGCAGTGTACTTCATCCAAACAAATTACTTTCTCATATACAACTGTACGACATCAGAATTTCCTTCTTTTTATTTTAAGATATTATTTCAAAATCCAAGCAAAGAATCCACATGGTTGAAACCGAATTCTAATTCATGTACAGTATTTTGTCAAATAATACCCTTGAATTTCAAAATAATAATTTGTTTACATTTTTATTGTATCTACATAGGGAGGAAATCTGGATTGTAGATATATATTTATGTATACTTCA